GAAAGAGAAATCTGGCAGAGAAAGAGAGGGAGTTCTTCACTCCCCCAGACTAAGAGGGAGTGGTAGCACAAGCATCTTGATAATCTCAAAAGCCACTAAATCGCTGGAAAGCAAGGAGGGGGAAAGTGGGGGAGGGGCATTTAAACAGTATCTTGTCATCAGTGCTTCCAGGAAATCCACTGATCATCATAGCAAAGGATTAAAACATGTTTAAGAAGTAATAGCAAAATGAACTGAACAAGTGTCAGAAAATTTAAACCTCATTCCTGACCTGATGTAAGTCACAGACTGACAGCAGGACCTGTGGCCAGCAGCCCTTACGATTAACAAGCCAGCTGCACATTATGAAAGTTCCTACATTTCAGATGCTCAGAAGGAAGAATCACTACACAGTGGACTTCAGTCTCACTCAGCTGCTCAAAGAAAAGTTGTGTTTCTAAACAGCACTGGCATGTTCCCTCAAGAGCTGTCTTTGTACTGCTAAAACATTGCAAAGCACTTTTCAAATTACATCTTGTAAATTCCACAGAATACAATTGTTGGTAGAAGTGCAGAATTAAGAAACTTGTCCAAAATCTCAGAACATGAAAGTAACTCAGGAACAGACCCTTGCAGAAACTGGTACACAACAATGTCCTTCCATGACAACATATTGCATGCTTTCTTGGGACTTTAAAATTAAGTACTGTCAAGGATTATCTTAAAAGCAGGAAATTCAGATGCCTGCCTATCTGGTCAGGTATTTAGGGCATACAAAAGCTGAAGAATCTACAGCTCTAATTAAGCATGCTCATTAAAATGGCATTCTGCCCAACTGAGATAACAGGAATTTTGAGTCTTGCAGTTCACATGCACAGATAAATTCCAGCCCTCTTTCCTCTGTCTACATCAAACTCGCTAAAAATATAAAGAAAGCTCCATGCTCTTCAGAAAGGGACATTCAACACTCCCACGCTTAGTAGAGGCTAAAATAAGTAAAACTTTACTCCCAATGGAATTAAATTACACGTATCCCCAAACTGACCTTATATTGAGCACTACTGCTGTTGGTAGCCTTCTATAAAGAATGCCTGGCAGAACTCTCTGGAGAGCACTATCAAGTCCTCTCAAGCAAACAGAAGTCATCACTGGGGCATCTTTAAGGAAGCAGTATTACAGGTAAATATTATCTATGTTGACTCCAGATAGAGTTTCCATGTTGTTATGCAGATAGAAAAAAAAAAATTTCACACACAGAGCTGTGAGAGAGCATGCACTGATTTTATGAAGCAAGCTATAAAGCCAAGCAATAACTCCAGCGTGCTTCTCAATTAACAAACTGATATTAGTTAAAAAAACTGACCCAACTGAGGCCATTCCAAAGCCTCGTCACTGCATAACGGCACTAAGCAACTCTCCCCTTGATTATAAGCAGAAATCCACAACAGGTGGCTTCTCTTCTATCTCTTTCTGCAACTAATGTTTAACAGTAGATCAAATTTAAAATAATCTTGTTCTTACTCCTCAATCATAGTAAAAATATTCGAGTTTAAAACAGAGTTAAGATAGGATTTTTTTCTATTCCCACGACGTGAAATTCATCATAAATATCTTTGCCCAGGCTCCATTAAGGACATTTAGTAGAAACTACAGTTATTACCAAATCTCAACCCTGAAGCTCTCATTCTGCTCCTTGGAAAAAAATGAAAGCCTACTACCTTGGTCTGCTTTAAGGTTTTTGATAATCCATCTCCAAGACCCCAGATTCAAATTTTGGCATGGATACCATTCTCTTTAGAGTTAGGTAACCTCTTTCTAGTTCTTTTTTTGTAATACAAAAGTAGGAAATTATCACTTGACTGTGAACTCAAGAAAGAATTTGGACAAAACAGCACATGTCTGCTGGTCAAGCTCAAGACGCACTGCGACGGCAGATCCAGACAGGAAGTTCACATCGCACCTGTCCACACCACATTCAGCATTATTATGGCCAGAGTCATGAAAAGCAGAGCCAGCAAGCATACAAAAATCTGAATGCACAAAGAAGCCAATACTATTGAACGAATCCCACTTGATGCTAATTAACATTAAGGCTGGCCAGAACCTGCTGTGATTCAAACTTGCACTTTCTGTCCAATCACAACTTCAGGGAAGCCTGGCAGAACCAGTGACTGAACCACAGGTGCAGGAAAAGCTGGCTGAATCTGTGAACTGCTTTCATATCACATGGTGATGGAGAACAGTCTGCATCAGAGCATGATAGTCAGGAATGGTAGCCAGCCAGCTAATCACACAGTGATCTCTCATGCCTTTTGTTTGTTTTATGAAAAAGAAGTTCTGCCAATTGGTTTCAGATCAAAATTCTTCCTAATTAGGAAAGAAAGAAAATTTATATAAACGATGCTCAGTAGGCATTAATCGGAAACACTGTCCTCCTGAAGGCATAAGCCTTTTTGGTTAAGTAAAAAGTTGCCACCAGCTAACGTGCAAGACAGTAGTGATTAGCCATCTGGTGAAGGTTCCTGCTAAGCTTGCCATGTTACCCCCTATGCTGAGGAAAGCAGAAAGTGGATCAGTTACATTCTGTCCTTGCCTGCAATTGTGTGGCCATCCTTAGGAACAAGACACAAAGCTTTCCAGCACAACCAGGAATTCTAAATGTTCCGACTTTTCAGCAGTCCATTTTTTTTTTAATCACTGCATCCCAGCTAAATTATTTAAAATTAAAATTATATATTGCCTTTCTGAAAGCTGAATTTACCCTCAAGCTTTAACAACCTTTGTTATTTTTTCCCCCTTTGTTTCCTTCTGCAAAAATTGCAACTGCCAGAAGGCTTCCCAGTCATCTAAAGAGCATCAATAAACAAGAGCACAGACAGATGGCTGCAGCTCAGTTTAAATCAGCACAAGATCCAGCCTCTCCCCTGCATTGCAAGTACTACCCGTAAGATACAAACACATTCATAAAAAACAAAAACCTGAATAAGAATGCAGTAGTCCCAAACAGAAAACAAGCATGTATATAAAATCTGGTAAGGAAGCAGTCACTGTGAGGACAGGGTGCTGAGGTTTCACATACAGTGAACATCCATTAAAACCATACAGCCTTCCAATAATACAACAACAGGATGTAAGGATGGCAGGGAGGGCAGGGAAGAGTTCTCCCTCCATTGTTGCTCCCAAAAGTATTGCTGGCAAAAAGCAATCAGCAGGGAAAGTAAAACCAGACATCTCCTTCCAGTAAAGTTACTTTTCTGAGAACTAATACACTGAACTCACACAACCTGGGAAAGTGACAACATCTCTGATAGGCCTCTCAATTCACCTACTACTTCAGGAATTCAGTCACATTGACAAATAACATGTTAACCCCTTATTCAAACAGATTCAGAGAGACAAAAAAACCCCACAAGGTACCTCACAGATTTAGAATGACAGAATTCTATCAAAACAACCATACTGGGTTTTTTTTCATTCCTGGATTTGTTTTTCATTTACCACATAGAAGACTACTGGTGTTAGAACAAGATACTATTGATGTTACATGCCTTGCTAAATAGATTCAGATGTCCACATACATTCAATAAATCTATCTGAATCAACATATTTCTGTTGATTCATATATCAACAACTATTTGCCTCTTCCACCAACTATAAATCCACTGCAATTCCACAGACACATCTGCATGCCTGAATGGCTCACATAAGAACGGGTTCAAACATTGCCCATTCTTTCCCAAACAAAAATTTTTACTCTGCTAAAATTCAAATTAACAGCTCTCCCTCAGGGCTTCCTGATATTCCAAGTTCTTCCTTCACTTTGTGATGGCAGAAAGCCTCAAGAATAGGGCTGCACAATCATCACCTCCAATCAGCTCTAATTGAAGAATGACACGAGACGGAACGAGAAACTAGCACTCCAATTAATACAGACAGGAAAAAACAAGATTGTGGGAGCAGCATCATTATTGGTAAAGCTCCAGCAAAACCCTTAGGCTGTAGCATGTTGGCACACTACCACCTCTGAGATAGAGTCTAACTACTCCTCAGTGCAAGAGTGCAAGGGAGGGAATGATCTGGTGGTGAATACTGAACAGTTCTGGCCCCTTTTTACCTCAGTGTTCACATTGAGACTTTAAGAACTTATTAACATGGGACTCCACTGATCCTCTCAAGAGAAGCCTGAATCAACCCTTCCAGGAATCAAATCTGTATTCCTACAATGCAGTCTGACATATACTTCTGCAAGACCTTCCTAAAACAGGACAACTACAAAATAACCACAGACTTCCCACATTAAACAGTTGGCCCCTTAGAGCGATTCATCCAGGGTCATCCAGAAAACCTCTGCCATTCATTTCCATGATGTTATTTCCTGCTCCATACATTTAAAAGACTAAACAAAAAGCTGGTACACACCTGTATCCCCATGGAAGCAGCTGTCCTGGTGACATCTCCCAGAAGGCAAATCTCCATCACTGGGCCAGATCTGTCCTGTTTTTCGTACACCCACAATAGTAGCCTCAGACACAATGACCTGCTGCTGCCTGTGCCGTTTTTGAGACTGGGGGGTTGGTGGACTGCTACTGTCAAAGGACTGCTGAGAGTTCTGGGAGGGAGAACGGCTTTTATCCCGATACATGCGGTAAGTGGTGGGGCTGGGGGAGACATGGCTGGACTGCCCTGAAGAGAAGTCTTCCTCACTGGAGGTAAGGTTCTCATTAGAGCTACAGTCAGGAGTATATCCTCCTCCAATATCTTCAAAACTCCTGGGGGAGTAAGACCTCCTCGGCCACGTGAGATGTTTTTCCTGGTCAGTTGTGCCCTGATTTCGCAGAATAGGTCCTTTCCCTTCTTCCCCCATCATTCCACCAACATAGATACTCTGATAGGGTTGAAAGTCCATGGGCTGCCAAGGTGAGCGGTTGCTGCCATTGGCATTAATCAGGTTATCTTTGAGAAACCTGGGGTTCAGTTCAGCATCCTCATATTCTCCATCATAGCCAAAGCTGCTCTCCGAGGACCTCCCCCTGTAAGCAGGCCTCTGGAACTCACTGAAGCTAGGTACCATGTTAGAAGGGAGGGAGTGCAAAGACTTTTTGCGTTCCATTTGCATGGCTTGACTACCAAGAGAGCTTATTTTATCGGAAACATCTTTATCGTTGACCTTTACTAGACCCTTCTCATGATGATACTCCATGTTCACATAAAAGGGCTTTTCAACAACATCCTTGTTATCTCCAGAAGAATGTGAATTAACCTTTTTAATCCTCTCAAAATTGGACCTTAGGGCTGCCACACTGGTGCTGTTCCCTCTCTCCTTAGAAATAGGTTCAAATGATCCCTCCTTCTCAGCAGATCCCACTAGCCTGCGAGTGGAAGCCGATCTGTGTTTTGAAGGAGAGCCATCTGTATCACAGCGATTCTCCGTATCTTCCACAACTCTCTTCAGCTTCTCTTCGCCGTAGTACTTACACCTGTCCTGCTCTCCCTCTCCATGATGGGGGCTGTCCAAAGGCGACAGGTCTGACCCATCGCTCTGGGTAGACAGCTTCCGCAAAGAGGGTATCCTGGGTTTGAACTTTTCCTCCCCGTGGTGTGACTTGCTTTTTTCATATTCATCTTGGTCAGCAGACTGGTGATGATGCAGGTCTTGGATCTGCTGCTCTGCACCCCCTTCAGGCAACTGAGAAACACGTTTAAAACCCCATCTCTGCCTATCATAGCTTTTTTTCTCCTTTGCCAGAAGAGTCTGCAGGTAAATCATGCGGAACCTCTCCTTGTTGACCTCCATCTCCAGTCTCCGGATAGATGCTTTGCACATCTCCAGCTCCTGTTCAATGTCTCCCACAGATTTCAGCTCCATTTTAGGAGGCTCAGAGTCTGCAAATTGTGCTTTCCAAGCCTCCACAAACCCCACAGGGTCCACCATTTTGCATACAGGAGTAAGGGGAGAATACAGGAAGGAGGCTGGAGAAAATAAACCAACTAGATCTCACATGTAGAAGCAGAAACAGCTCTGTCAGGGTCAACCCAATGCGTCTCTTTCACGGTCCATGCAGGAGAACCGGCAGGCAAACGGCAATCCTCAGAGCAGTCTCTCCTCCTCGTCTCCTTCGGCTTTTGCCGGCCCCAGCCCCGCGTAAGCTCGCTACTCCCTGCTCGGCATGACTGATCTTTTGCTAGCGAACAACGCTCCCACCCCAGTGATCCCAGAGCACTTCAAAGCGGGTGGACAAAGGAGCAGGCTCGGGGCGGGGGAGGGAAGGTAAATATCGTCCC